CTCTCTCTCTCTCTCTCTCTCTCTCTCTCTCTCTCACCATTTTATTATACAAGGGAACCAAATAGGATATTCTGAGCCAAAATATTCCTGTATCACATTTCTTATTAAAAATGAGTCAGGATAATGACAGGCAGGAAAGGGGTGGGGAAGGAGCACCAGACAATGCCTGCGATCTGCTTCTTCCTCTACACGTGATCCTAAGTAGAATGTCACCTCCTTGGGAGCAAAGACCTTTGCTTTAGCCTCGGTATCCTTGATGCCTAGCACAATGCCCGACACAAAGTAGGCACTTAATAAATGCTTGATCTGTGACAAGAGACCAAAAGTATTCTCCTTTGTCTATACTGCTCTAGTCTTTGCAGTATGTATCAATGACTATATGTCCTCCATCTATCAGGCCAGAGGAGAAAACAACAACCTGACATTGGAGCAAGGCCTTCATTCATTCATTCATTCATTTATCTATTTATCCATTCATTCATTCATCTACCTCTCTACCACTCATAATTGGGATTATTGGATGCTTTGCTTACTACTCCTTAATTTTGTTTTCCAAATCTCATTCATGCTGCTTCTCAAGAGCAGGCAGGTTATCGTTAATTTTTGAATGATGAAATCCACTCTTATATCTTCTCATCCCTCACTTCTCAAATAACCATCCCAATAGCATTGGAAGAGTTTGAATGACACCCCAGCAACCAACATTGAGTTGACAATCACCAGAGACATTGCCAACATTACATAAAAATATTATTTACTTATGATGAACTCCCAAGTCACCTTTGCAGGTCAGCAAATGTGTGCAAATTTCAGCCAAGAATCATCACAGTTGGAAGCTGGAGAACTAGAGCATTGGGAACTTCCCAAAGGTGTATGCATGTATGTGGCAGTATGCAAGTTTCTCATAAATGATTTTCACTCCGACATCCACATGAACCCCAAATACAATTTATTTATACAGTGCATTCTATGTGCCAGGCACAGTGCTAGACACTTTACAATTATCATCTTATTTGATCCTTACAACAACACTAGAAGGTAGGTGCTGTTAGTATCCCCACTTTGCAGAAGACAAACCTGAGGCAAACAGAGGCTAAATGACTTGTCTAAGGTCACACAGTTAGTAAGCATCTGAGGTTAGATTTGAACTCAGGTCTTCCCTACTCCTGGCCTAGCACTCTAATACCTAGTACCACCTAGCTGCCTCAACTGTGTGATTCTCTCTTAGTTCCCTTCCTGTTTGGAGATTTTATAATTCTACCACTCCTTCATGCATCAGTTTCTTGGATATAGTTCCTAGTTCTGTTCTCTGAGTTTCCTAGGTTAGTAGCTCTGTACCTTTCATTTGGAAGGATCTCTTTATCCAACCCACCACTTTTTTTGGCCCCAGTAAAATTAGTCTCAGCGATGTCCTGAGATCTTCACAAATAACAGTGAATCCATAAAGAGCTGATAAAATACACTATGAATCATAACCATTTGGATCACAGATTTAGAACTGATAGGGACTATAGAAAACATATAGTATGACCATCTTATCTTACAGATGAAGAAAATGAGGTCCATAGAGAGGTCAAATTGTGTGTGACTGAAGTGAGTAGGTGGAAGAGCTGGGATTAGAACTCAGGTCCTCAGATTAACCCCATATGTAGAACTGAGGCTATCTACATGTGGGCAACAACTAAATACAAAGAATGAAAGACTAAGAAAGATGGTCTCCCATGCTGCTTCAGTTTCTTTATAAGCCTGGGTCCTACAACAGATGAGAATCTGGAGTATAAAATGAAGTGTTCAATTGAACTTGACTAAGAAGAGAATTGTGTTAATCCAACTTAACTGTTAGAATGTTTTTTTTTAATCGCAAACATTTTTAGGACATAAGAAATTAACACACCAAAAATATTCAGCAAACTTTGGACAAACACAGAGTAGTGGACTTGATTTATCATAGTACTGAACGATCTATAATGAATTTAGAGGTGTGTCATCATTCTTTCTGCATTTAACTATTTTCACTAGTTATTTGTGAAACTGACCATTTTTAGAGCCTGAATAGGAGAATCAACCTCACTTCAATCGTGTTTTTATAGGAGCTATAGAGACACTGACCTGTGATTTTACTGGGAACTCACTCCACCAGGAAGTGACTTGTCCAGGGTCATACGGGTGCATGCATCAGATCGAGACGCTAAGGCTGGTCCCCTACCACTCTACTATGCTGCCTCTCCTTCATGGTGATTTTTGTCTTAGATGAACTTTGATACATTCATTGATCTATGTGCCGTGACTCTTCCAACATTAAACTATTATCTTTGGACATCTCATTCAAATTCATGTTTTCACTAAAAGATAAGAGGGCTTATCCAACAACCAAATCAAATGGAGACAAAAATGACATACATGCTGTTTTTTTTTTTCCCTTTCATATTTCTTTGTTGCACCTAAACTGAACTGTGACAGTTCAGCGTGTCAATATCAGACAATTGTTTTTCAACCAATTTTTAAAAAATATATATTTTAGAAAACAAAGGTAAGGCACTAGGATTGAGATTCCTATTTTATGCATGAATGAAATTTGTCTACTCTCATAGAAACTCAAACACTTTGAGTGAAGAGAGCAACAAACTGAGTATGGGATATTTCTTATGGTTTCACATACTGACTGTGTTACCTATAACTGTGATATCAAAACCCAAGAGTTGGAGTTGGAGTATAAAGAATTTTTATGAAGATATATGAGGAATACACAAAACAGACACAAACAAAAATAATTTAACTTTTAACCTCCAATATAAAAATATAATTAAGAAAGAGAAGTTTTATTAGGGCAATTTTTTACTTTATTTTTCCATACAGCAAAGTCAACTATTGCAATAATAATAATAATAAAAGAAGCACAGAAAGAAATGGCAGCCAAGGACAGAATACATAATTCAAAGCGACTACAAGCAAAAGGAATTCTGTGATTACATAACAGTAAAATCAAGCATGTCTGTCCTTTCAGCAGATGAAAGTTGCAGGGTTGCAAATAAGTGCGACATCGTCATCACCTGATTGGCGTGACTGTTGGATAATACCGATAAAACTACAGCCGAATATCACTTGGTTAGTGACTTTTAAATTACAACGTGATGCAGAACGTTGTTTTACGTACTTCTGATTTTGAAAATTAAAACTGTGAAATTTGAAGTTGATTCGTTTGTTTGTTTTCACCTGCTAAAAGAACAGCTCACTAATAGCAATAAAAAAACAATCACATAACAACAATAGCTACGGTGTGCTGTTTGGTTTGCCTGTTCATGATTTTTAACTTTTTGTGAGAGTCAATACTCATTTTGAAGATTTTTGTTTTGTGAACAATAAACCACTGAAATTGTCAGAAACTGGTTTGAATAGTATATATTCTTAATATAGTTTTCTTTATTTTTTTTTGATAGTTTAAACATGCAGTAGTTTGGAATAATGTAAGGACTATCTGATCCATGATTTAACCTTAATGGTTGAAATAAGTACCTGCTATTTTTGGCAATGATCTTCAGGCATATTTGGACCAGTGGAGCGGTTGTCAGTCATGAGATCTCGGAAGGATGGCATATCTTTCCAGCTGAAAAAATCCTGGCAAACTACAAGCTGTCCACAAAAAGCAAAGCCACTTTTTTGGGAGGGGTTTGGAGTGCTAACTCTGCCACTTTTGCAAGCAATTTTGCTCAGCCTGTCATTTTTTTTTTTTATTAGCCTTAACAAAACTCCTTGTAATTATAGACGTTTTTATTCAAAATAAGATCTCACTATTATACAGGTTTCTCTCTTTTTTTTTTTTGACTATATACAGAAGTGCAAAAAGTCAACCTTCTTTCCTCAATGTTCCAACATGCTAAACTGCAGCATAATCAACCCTCAAGAGTTTGCACACACTAAAATTCTTGTTACGTAAACTTTGAGTATTTGGATTATCAACAAAAATTCCCTTGATCTATCGATTATGCAGCTTAATTATAACAAGGCCTGATATTCAGGGATTTCAAAAAATATTTAAACAATACTTTAACATTTGAAATGGATACAGTAGAAAATAAATTTTATTCTAATATCTAGGATCTAGATTTTCTTATAATAACTAATTACAAACAAAATAAATCATCAAAATATTACTCAATTGTCTGCCAGGATTGTTGCCACAGCAACAACTTAACTTCTTACTTAGCAATGATTATATAATTATAAGATATCCATATAAAAGATCTTTGTTCTTTTAATGAAAACTAGACAAGAGCTAACAATGACTGACATTCTTACACTGTAATATTAAATCTGTAAAATATAAATCATTTAGTTAACAATAATACGAATCCTTATATGACACTACATGTAATTCAAAACTGAGTATGTTATGAAAGAAAAAAAACTAATTTTTTTGTTTTTTGAAAAATTCATCAGTAAAATCTAATAAAACAAAATTTTATAAACTGAAATGGTATTCAATTGTTAATAGAAAATGAAAACAATTTTAATAAATGTAGGAAATTAAAATCTACATTTTAACAAGGAAAATAAGTAATATTCTATCATGAAACTAACTACAATAACATGTGAAGTCACCTATACTTTCTTAATACGATTGAAATTACATTGGTATGGGGTCCAACCCGTAATGTAATAATCTAAGGCTTTAATAGATGTACAGTACAATCAGTAAAATCAACACATCATTCTTATACTAGAAAGCATATCTCTCGAGCATAAAAACTTGCCGTAAACGTGGAAGTATGGAAGGTTCTATAACGGAACCTCCTCCTCTTCCATTCCACACCACACTACTAGTGACCTGGCCCCCACTTCAGCAATGCTCAGAATTGCTGAACAGGCAAAAAAAAATTATACATATACATATATATTCGTCCATATACATATATGTATATCCTCTACTAGCTGCAACATCTAACCCACGAAAAAAGAAAGAAAGAAAGAAAAAAAGAAAAAAGGAATTCCTTTGGATGAATCTATTTTTAAAAACTGAATGCACATCTATATATATTTTTAATTTTGTAAAAGGCTTTCTAAGGCTATAAGCAGTTAATCAAAACAAAACAGAAACAAAAAAAGAAAAAAAATCACATATAAAATTCACCCGAGTACTTAACCCGCCCAATTACTACTTAATTAAACCTTTACCATTTTTTTTTTTTATATTTTGGTTTAACATGCATCCAATGACAGTGCTGCTGCCTTCCTCTTTGTTTAGAGTCACCATTTTGAATGTGACTGTAATGAAGAATGGAAACAAAGTGAAACTATTTTTGCAAAGCATTTATAGTCTTTTGACTTTTGACAGAGGCTATAAATAGAAGCAAAACAAGTTCCTCAAACATTGTTTTCCTGTTACCGTGTCTCAGAAATGGCATTTCCCTTTTTATTTTTTTAAGTATCATGTTATACAGTATAATATGCATAAATATTACACTACAATGCATTAAAATAATTTTATATATATAATCTCTATATATCTATCTCTCTCTATATCTCCAGTATGTGTGAGTTTTCTGTGTTTATTTGAGAGTTTGTCTTGTGCTGCCTATGGTTACTGTATGGTTAAATGGGCCATTTCTGAGACAGCTTTGGTTTCGAAAAAAGAATGGTGCCCTTTGACTGATCGGTATTAGCAAGTAAGCAACGAAACGTGGCTCTGAAAATAATAACACTGAAGAAATAATACTCTACTTTGATGTACAGTCTATGGCACTTCATGAGAATCTTCAACAACATGGTTCTTAAAGCCATGATGTGCTTTAAAATATACACAGCTATGGTTTTGCTTGGCACATTCATCTCTGTCAGATCCCTCCCTCACCACCTCTTACAATCTATTACATTAAAAATATTACTCTTCAACAAAAATGACTGTGCATGCACACTTTTGTCTATAATGGCAATTTTAAATACAAGGTGCACCTTTGTTATTTGTAAACCTTGAAAGAAATAAACTTATTTTTTTAAAAAAATTATATCTTGGTCTACAGACGTACCAATACATGATAGAATCATGGTTACACCATAGTCTGTCTTTTCAAGATGGCGCGAGTATGTAGGAAATTAACTAGGTGGATGCATACCAAAATACATATGCATCTCTCTGTGCTAGAAAAGAGAGACAATGTTGTTCTTTTAGACATTAAGATCACCTCAGCACAAATATCAATTCAATATACAAAATATCTAGGCAACAGTGTGCAGTGGGTTTCCATGTTGTCTTTTCATCTTGATAACATGCAATAGGTGGATGCTTTACGGCTGAGGGTTTGGCTGGGTGTGTTGCGTGACAGTATATACATTATGGCTAACGACCTTGTCCTTTATTCTAACCAAGCACACTGTCCTCTTCTCTTTAGTATGATCTATAAAAAAGAGGGAGGGGGAAGAAAAAGAATCTTGTTGAATAAGATGTCTCGGCAGAACCCTCTATATCCCCACAATGCATTCCGTGGTGTCTTTCAAAGATTTCATCTCAAAGGATGGACAATTTGTTGGTGTGAAATAGATATGTTTTTACTGAGTAGTCTCAGCATATTCACAGTGTTGGAATGGTAAATGGAAAAACTGAGGAAAATGGACTTTGCCTTCTCTAAACAAGTGAAACATGACACGCTGCGGGACAGTTTTGCAATCCATGCTCCCAAACCACCCAGGAGTAAGGGAGCAAGGCCCCTTACAATTAGACTGGTACACATGTGTCACCCCTTTCATAATGCTGGTTTGTTAAGTAAGGTCCAACCTATACAGAGCTATGTTTCAGAAGAAATGGTTAGGCTTCATGCATTTAGCAATTCATGGAATAATGCACTGCATTTCAACAGGAAACCAACTGTATTAATTAGTTGCTTAATAAGCCCAAGACTAATGGACTTTGGCAGAAAAAAAACCCCAAATTTTTTCATCAGTACAAGTAATATGAAGTTTCTTTCTAAAGCTCCGAAAGAAATCTTGGAGAATTTGGGGCCTGCTGGTCTTATACCAACATTCATCAATTAATTGGTAGACTGCGCTTTTCACTGGGGTTCATTCCTTTCAAGAGTTCTTTATTCATCAAATGAATGTTTTAATCAACTGCCGTTAAACACAATTCAATGGAAGAGGAGAGACAGTACAGTTTATCATCCTTTCCCTGGTCCTTCAGAATGGCAACAGACCTTGGAGAGAATCTAGTAAAGACACATCATTTTATAGACGAGGCCATCCAGAAGGCCAGCATGACTTCAAGCCAGTTAATGGCAGAAACGCTGCCTTATTGTGTCAGGACACAGTTATAAGGTTGTGGTCATTTCTCAAAGAAACACATCATCCATTTAGTCAACAGGGTGCAATGGTCTGTGGGGGTAGGGGTGGGGAGAGACACTGAGCTAAGAGTCAGGGTCTTGAGTTCAAATGTCTGCTCTGCCAGTAGTATCCTGGTTGACCTTGTGTAAGTCATTTCATTTCATTCCTCTTGCCATTCATTTCCTCATCTATAAAACGACAGATGATGTCTAAGGACGCTTTTAGCTCTAGAATTTCAAGATCCTTGACATTTGAGTCAAAGTAAAAACACTGATACACTTTCTTATCACTACTTTTATCAGCATGCATTTCTATAGAGCTTTGCGTAACTTGTCTCTTTTGATTTCCACAACAACCCTGTGAGGTAGGTGCTGTTATTATCATTACCCCTGTACAGTTGAGGAAACTGAGGCAAATAGAGGTGAAGTGACTTGCCCAGGGTCACAGAGCTAATAAGCTTCTCAGGCAGAAATCAGACTTAGGTCTTCTTTCACTCTATCCACCATGCAACTGAGCTGGCTCAGATACTGAAAATGGCTTCCTAACGAGAAGTATAATAATTTTGGAACTGACACTTTTTAAAACTTGATATCTATAATCAGCCCTTTGCTTACGTTAATAAATAAATTATTCTTGAGAAAGAAAAGTAAATGGATCCTTTAATTTTTTGTGTGTGTGATTCTTCTCTCACAGATGGTCTTCAATATTTAGTTAAATTTTAAAACTTATAGCTTGCTACCTGCATCTATAGCCACAAATATACACATCAGATATGTAAAGTAATAGGAATAGGACTATTTTTTTTAACACATTATAACTTACCCACCAAGATGAGTGTTGTCCCCTTCAAAACAGTCACCCTGGGAGTCTAGACACTTATTCCAACAACATAATTACCATCAGAGCCAGTATTTAAGCCACACAAGGTCAGCCTCCTTAATGTATAATCATGCAATTATTCACCGGAAGTGGTAAGACCAAGCCTGATAACTCACCGGGTTCAACAGATCTACCTCCTGGCTTCCTTCAAGGAAGGCTCCAATCTCACCTTCTGCAAGAAGTCTTTCCTCATCTCCTCTAATGCTAGTGCCTTCCCTATGTTGCTTATCTCCAATTCAGCCTGTTGTTTTCATGTCATCTCCCCCACCGGATTGGGAGCTTCTTAAGG